TGCACGCCCAATTTTTCAGTTTTTTATTTGTTAAAAAGGTTTGAAATATCCAATAAATTTCGTTCCACTTCATAATTGTGTCCCACTTGTTGTTGATTCTTCACAAAAAATTACAGTTTTATATCTTTATGTTTGAAGCCTGAAATGTGGCAAAAGGTCGAAAAGTTCAAGGGGGCCGAATACTTTCGCAAGGCACTGTAACTAAATATCAGATGTTACTGTAAATAATTTATTTAAATAATACACAAGTTCCTAGTTCAAATGTTAAGCACCAAAGACAGAACTTCCTCAACCTGCATTACTAATTTTATCTTAATATTTTCTTTTCATTCTTTTTAGCTTGGAGTTTAAAGCCCAAAACTTTACTGTTTTGGTGCTCATACTTTAGTTTTTTGGCTACAACAGGCAGTTGTTTAGGCAAAAAATCTCTAATAAACTCACCATTACAGCTGCTTGGATAAATGGATAAACGAATAAATTAGCAATTAGCTGGTGAATGCAGTGGAACATGTAGCTGCTTAAAACGCATATATATTTTGCTCAGGAGTCAGTGGCTGCCAAGTGGCATAATAGTTCTGCACCCAAGACCAAAGCTACGATTTTGTTATTTCTTCTTTAAACAAAGTCATATACTTGCTTTGGAAAAGCTTTCTCACGCATTAAAAATAACAATTCCTCCAGAGGAAATAAATCCCGAACCAAAAGCACACACATCAGCAGCTAAGAATATAAAAACGGTTGTGACACACATTGCCAGCTGGTGGCAAATGGACGACGCCACCCCGTGGATTTGAATGGAGAGCAGTGAAGTCAGTTTTGGTCCTACGAAATACTCCTACAGGGCTACTTCCTGTTGGCACTAGCGATTACTGCACATGATCACGCAGCTTAATTTAATGATGTAGAGCAACGGCAGAAACACCGTAGTTCAAAAGTCTTCCGTGTTGTGTGTTTGTCTGACTTGGATCGTCACTTTTTAATCCGCCCACTTACAATGCTCACCTCCCAAACACCAACTTGAAGTCACTGTTTATTATCTAACAAATACAGTTGCATCTCTAATGTGCGATGGGATGTTGCAGGATTTTGACATCATTTTGGGGCCTGCATGGAACCCTCCATGCAGGCTTCGGTTGGCTTCACTGTTTGATCTCTGGCTTAGCCCCTTGGTATAGACAGACTAAGCTTAGCGGTTGACAGGCTGTGAGCAAATGACCATATATGGAAAACCGGATGTTAATGACATCATTCAGAGCCAAACAGTTGAAAGTTGAAACCAGAGCGTTAAGAACAAAGGGAAATATGAGGTTTTGGCTCAAAGGGATTATTTTTAAATATGTTAACATAATTATTTGAAGCTTTGGCCATTTTTAACATGAACATCTGACATTGTAACATTATAGATAAGAGACAAAATACAGAAAAGCACAAAATACAGAACCGCAATAGGTCTCCTTTAAATCTAACATCACTGTTGGGTTCGGTTCACATGCAACAGATTGGGAATTTTGAAGAAAAGGTAATTGAAATGACGCTTTTCAGCTTGGTATTGAGTTTCTCTTAAAATTCAGTGCTGTATTCACAGTTGGTGCTGGTGTTTGTATCAATATGTATTTAGCAGCTTCCTTGTCATGGACTTGTGACCAATTTCTAAAGACTTCAGCTTTGATCTCCTTTGATCTCTTTTTGACCAAATTATTAAAGAAAAGATGCAGTGCAACACTACACACATTTGTGAGACAAAAAAAAATTCTTACACATGTCCTCTGTTTTATTATATTCCCCACACATGCCCTTATTTCTGTCAGACTCAGCTAAGGAGATTATCTTTAAAAAAATATTTCATGTTGTATTTCATGTTGCTAATTCCCACAGAAAAATCCGTTCCAATTAGCTAAGTGTAGTAACTGCTCACCATGACAGGAAGAACTTAACGGCTGGCCTGCCACTGTATTTTTATTTTTTTTTTATCTCCGTCACAGCTGAATTCATGACACCACTAAAGACAGGGAGGTTGAGGCCTGTGAGCAGAAAAGACTTTCTGTAAAAGGACTGAACAGTCCCACGCCATATTCACTGCACACTGCACTCTATAATTGAAATCACCATGTCCCCGCTGTTCTCAAGTGAGGTGGAAATAAAAGGAATATATAACACAAATACAAAATCAAAAGTCTTGGTATTCCAATTGAGTGGACGACACAAATTAAGTCATGTGGCAAGAAAAGCCTTTAGAGGGAAATTGCTCCACAGAGAGTAGAAAGCTTACACTTCAGTGCTTTCAAAAGACCTGTGAAAAGAATTGCGAGACACATGCTTGTTTGTGTTGCAGCAGCAAAGTGAATGTTAAAGATTCATGGCTTTTAAAATGGATTTCCTCTTTTACGTTTCTTGACATTATCAGGAAGCTGCGCAGGATGTTGCTTTTGCCGACAGCAAATCCAGGACAAAAAAAAAATATTGATTTGTATCAGATCTTCCATCTTCTTCTAATGTGTCAGACAAACTCTCCACATGTAAAATCTATGAATGGGCAAAGTAATATTGTGAGTATAAGAAAAAATATTCATGAGAAGGAAATACAATAAAAACAATGAGCATCTGTATGTGGATGCATGACATAATAATGTTTCAACTGTTTGTGAGAGCTAGATGAGACAATTGATGTTTATTAGATTACACTGGTGGCTTTCTGCAAATGGGTTTACATATTACTGCTCTTTTTTGATATCCAAAAAATCACAATTGCTCTACATCTGCATTTACAGTATAGACTTCCTTTTGCAAATACAAATCCTGTAGCAGTCAGAGGTAACGATTAAAAAATTCAAACATACCGTTTCAATTATTCAACCCCCACAGCAAATCAGGTTCATTGTCAAAATCTACAGACTTTCAGCTGTTTGCATTGAACAAATGCAACAAGTGGTTTCCCCAAATTCAGCTGAAAATGCAACTTTTAATGACTTCTCCAGTCTCAGAATCATTCAACCTCTTCATGGCAAGCATCTTTAGTACTTTAGCTTCTGGCAGCTTTCCTGAGGAATCTTAGCCCATTCCTCATAAGCAATAGCCTCCGGTTCAGTAATATTCCTGGGTTTGTGTGCTGCAACCGCTTCTTCAAATCCCACCAGAGATTTTCTCTGGGGTTCATGTCAGGTGACTGTGATGGCCACTGTACATTCTTCCAGGACTTGTTCTGCAACCAAGACTTGGTGGAATTTGAGCTTTGCTTGGGATCATTGTCCTGCTGGAAGGTCCAATGACGCCCAAGCTTCAGCTTCCTCACAGAGGGCATGACGTTTTCTCCTGGAATTTCCTTGTACGTCAGTGAATCCATCTTGCATTCCACACGCTGAAGGTTTCCAGTACCTAAGGATGCAAAGCAGGCCCAGGGCATCACCGAGCCACCACCATGCCTAACTGTGGGCAGACTGTTCTTATGAATGTATGGTTCATTCTTCTTCCTCCAGAGATACCGCTGATCCATTGTGCCAAAAAGATCCAGTTGTGCTTCTCAAAACTCCTGTGGCTTAATTATATGATTTTGAACATATTGGAGCGGACTTGGAGTTCTGACATGAAAGCAGTCTGTTTTCAGTACGCGCCTTACTGTACTCAATGAAAACTCTTCATGTGTTCCAGCTCAAGCACACCTGGTGCAACTAACAAAGCCCTTGATTAGTTGCAACAGGTGCGAACACCCTTTTTGCATATTTGTGCTGTTGTGAAGGATTTTATTCAGGGTGTTGAATAATTTTGAGACTACTTTGTTGTGTTGAGTCATTTCAATTACTTTACAACTGCAAACAGCTGAAAGTCTGTAAATTTGGACAAACCTGATTTGCAGTGGGGGTTGAATAATTTTGATTGCAACTGTAAATACTTAGCAATCCTATAACTTGCTTCAAACCTGCTGCGTCATGGGTGCTTCCAGTTTATGATGCGTCTTTATCATAGTACACAAAAGGTGCAAGATGACAAAAGATCAGCACGGACATCACTGGCCAAGTATGTTCACGCATGCAAGGAATTGTATTTGAATTTACTGCAATCATACTCAGTGCCAAGAACAAAACCATAAAGTAAAACATTCAATGTTAATAACTAATTAATTGATCTTGTCAAGAGACAAGAATTTGACTTGGCCCAAAAGCACACCAAACAAACATCAAACACCAAGCATCTAAATAAACTTATATCACAACATAAATCGCTCCCTCACAGTACATGGCTGCACAAGTTGACTTCCACATATCTTTCCTCTCATCCCACACCATAGTCCGACCACTCTAAATATAGCTCAGCTCCAGCTCTGTTCAGCTGTGGAAAAATAAATAGGTTAATTTAGTGGATTCCTTAGCGTCTGACCTGTCAAAGGAGACCAGAATTATGCATCTAGGCCTAATGGTTTAGGAGTTATTACTTATTAATTTTGGGTATGTTATTTTAGGTGTTTTTCCTAGAAACAGGTGGCAGTTATCAAGTGGTTAAGGATCATTTTACAAGTCAGTCCTGAGCGGTTAGCCTGATTATTCCATGAAATATAACTTCCCCATAGGCCTCTGTTACAGTGGACATTTTGATTTGTCAAACACAAGTGTAACTAATAACATTAATAATGGCTGCATTCCACTCAGGTGTGCCAGTTTGGTGCAATTGTGAATGCTGCATCACTGGCTTGGCTTACTGATGCACCAAAATAGAATGGAGCCATTGTTTATAATATTAGTTACACCTATACTTTTACTGCTATGACAAGTGTTGCCAGAAGAAAAAACATTTTCTGTGTTCTTAAAGAAGAAGTGAAAAGAGGGCTAAGACGGAGAGATTTATGATGAATACTAAGTGAATTATTTATTCACCCCCCCGTAATAGTGGGCTGCATTTACTGCCACATATGAAAAAAATAATTTTGATTTGCATACAGTATATTCAAATTGTCTTTGATGTAATATGAATCAAATTGACTTTAATTGACATCAATTCTCTCTCAACAGTCCAAAAGCTACATGTGCAGCAGCCAGGGGAATGTGCTGTGCTTCACCATAGATTTTGGATCAGGCTTCACCTGCTCAGAAGGCACTTCAAAGGTGAAGTAACTGAGTTCACAATTGTTGTTGACAATCCGGTTAGGTACGGTTCTTCCCTGAACTGCTCCTGAGACAGCAGTTAGACAGCACCTGTCCTTATTCACTTAGGCTTCTACTGTATTTTAAAATGTATTTAAGTAACTCTGAAATATAAAGATATCCTCTCAAATGTCACACATTTTGTAAAGTGGTCTTACCAGAATAAAGTGGTGGATGGTATGCTATTGTCATTAAATGTACATTTTGGATTATTTTGGCAGCCTTGCTACTTTTTGAATTCAATGTCCATTGGATCACTGCAAGATTGGTACAGCAGTGATAAGTACTGCTGTGCTTTTGTTATGCATTATAAATTTCCTCAAAGTACATCTGCACATTAAAATGTCAGGTCTTGATCATGCAGGTCTCTCTGAAGTCAGACGTGGTGTTTAAATGTTGTGCTCATTATTGAAATCCCTGTGCTGCTGTCTTTTATAATCCCTTCCCATGTAGACCGTGCTGTGGCGATATAAGTTCTCTCAACTTAAAGGCTCCTCTGATGATGGGAAAACCAGGGTAAAACTCCTTTTCAAGAATGCTGAAAGCAAGCAAATAGAAATGAAGGTAATCATTTTTTTCCACTTCAAAATTAAAGGTATACAAAGACTTTTTGAATCATAGTTTGCACAGTTATTATTCATTAATACCAATTAATACTAATTTACAGAATGTCTAGTTAGTAATATTTCCTCCTAAGTGACCAGAGTGTTAAATCCAGTTTTTCAAGAAATCATAAGTTTTAAAATATTCATATTTATGAGTATGAACATATTAATGTGTCTCTCTGTCATTTATTTGTATTTTTCCAGGAACTAGAGTTTGCTAACCTAACAGCTGTCCTCCACTGTATACATTCTTTTATCGCTGCCAAAGTGGCCTCCATGGACCCTCTCTTTATGTGCGGTCAAAGCTTCCCTGGAAATTACATGAACAGTTAAGAAGACACGTCCTCATTGTCAAGTGCACCTGTGGCAAATATTTTATGCACAGAGCCACTTGATATGTTTATCTTGTTCTTGCTATTTTTGTATGAACTACTGAAAAATAAATATTTGTAAAAGACTGTAGAAGTAGAACATGTATAAATTAATGGTGGAAGAAAGATGTTGTTTAATTTTTGACAGGTAGAAAAAACACAATCTGAATGGATTCACAGTTCTTCCATTTCTTCAATATGTTTTCTCTCATTACATAATGGACACTTACTTGTTTCCATCACTATGAAAGGTATCACCCGTTCTACCATATGGTGTGTAACTGCCATACATTTGACAACCTGACACAAATCGCCAGATACAGCAACTGCCACTACATTTAGCTTAGAATCTGAGCTGATACACTATCTATGAAGAATTATGGTACTGTACCTACATCTAGTAAGTACATCTTTACTGACAAAATGAATCTGATGTTGGCTTACTCCAGCAGACCTCTGACAGGGATTTTCTTTTCTTTATATTCACAGTTGAACTGTAATGAGTAATTCTCCTTTCCCGGTCCCTCTGGTTTCTCTTGTTATGTATGTGAAATGGGGGGGGGGGTAACACAAACAATGTAATGCAGTCTAATAAGCCTCCAAATAACCACTGAATTGAATCAGCACCTCTCTGAAAATAAAAATCTTCACAAAGGCAGCATTTATTTTATTGGCTTAGATACAATTGTTTGATGTTTGTGCTGTTGTCCATCTTTTGTATCTAATAAAGGCAAAAAGACTGAGTTTCAAATCTTTCTAGCCAATGAGGACATTTACCTGAAATGTGACATTTAATCTTCAGATCCACTTTTATCAACTTCCATTCTAATACACTGAACAATACTGTATGTCTTCAGTTGCTGATGGTTCTATTGTGAAAATGCATATTTGCTGTGTTTTCAATAAATTGCTCATAAAGCCCAATTGCCTATCATGCGAGACATATCACAGCTCCCTGTGGGTCTGTATGTCTACTTTGAAAGTGAAGGGATGGCAGTGGATGTAACATTAGCATCTGTTAGCCCAGTCACTTAACTGTTCATCTTCTGCTTAGCTCTATCTCAATAACCTGCTGCCTGCTGACAAAATATAAGTTACCATCTCATCTGACTGGATCAGTCAGATAAAATGTCATTCTTTGTTATTTAGTGTAAAATGAGCTGAGCTGCAGCACAACACTTATTCAATGAAGTGCTTCTTTCATCCAGATGGTTTTATCATTGCGCTCTGAAGTTAACATTAGCTTACAGTTTATTCAAAATATTCCCTGTCCTCCTGTGCTTTTTTTGCTGACAACTCCCACTGTCGGGGAGGGGGGATGATTTCCCTTTAATGAAAGTCACCAGCTGCTTCTGGTCACTAAGAGGAGCCTCACTTGAAAAGTATAACACACATATGCAAATGCTGTCCTCCTTGGTCCAAGCTCCACAGATGCAGCCTGACATAACAGTATGTGTTGCTAGTGCACCATGAAGGTAAGGCAAGGCAGTTTTATTTACACATTTCAACAGAAAGGATTCAAAGTGTTTTACATTGGCAAAGAAAAGCATTAGAATGGCATTCAAAACACAATGGAATAAAATTTAATTCTAAAATGCAACAACAATTTCTCATTTGAGATGATCAGGAAGTTGGTTCGACCTGTGTACAACACAGTAGCTAAACGTAGCCCTACTAGGTTTATATTCTTCAAGGAGATCAGATATGTGTTTTGGCCCAAGATTATTGAGTGATTATAAACTAGATAAAATTTTTTGAGATGATAAAATGCTGATTTAGTAATTGCCTTGCTATGGCTGCAGAAACTGAGACCTGAGTCAATTAAAACAGCAAGATTTCTAACTTGGGTTTTCGTCTTTATAGCTCTGGAATCACTTGGCGAAAGATAAGTAATTCTGAGCGTCGTTTGTGTAGCTGTGATAAACGATGTTGTCCTGTTGTACCATTTGGCCTGGATGGAGCACGCACGGGTTGAATAGAAGCGGCTCATGAATTAAACCCTGGGGGACTCCACATGTCATGGTTATCTGCTCAGATTTATGATCACCAATGGCAACAAGATAGATCCTGCCTGCAATCTGAACCTATTGAAAGGATAATCCCTACTTACCTTTCCAGCCTCTCTAGAACAATTTTATGGTCCACAGTATCAAAGGCCGCATCGATGACCAACCAGCACTAAAACTGAGGCATTATATAACACTGGTATCACTGCCATCTCAGTGCTAGGATGTTTCCTAAAGCCAGATTTTTAAAAAAGTCCATTTGCATTTAAAACGTTATTGAGTTGAATCAAAACATCTTTCTCAGTATTTTTTCCAATAAATGGAAGATTAGGGATCGGTCTGTAATTATTAAAATTGAAGGATCCAGGTTGCCTTTCTTTAAAAGAGGATTAACAACTGCAGATTTAATTGATTTTGGAAAAATGCCCAACTCTTTTCAGCATGTCCATTTCCAAGCAACTGAAAACCTTTTTGAAAAAGGTAGTTGGCAGAGTGTCAAAACAGCAGGTGGATGAATTGAGATTCGTCACTACATCATCCAGAGTTAGGTACTGATAGCATTGAATGTTGACAATCTGGCCAAATTGTGTGGATGCGCTAAATGGATCATTTTCTCCGTATATTTGCATGTTGGGCAGAAATGGCAGAGACTGCACAGAGAAGTTTTTATCAGAAAACAAGAATGTTGTTTAAAATGTCAGCAAGAAACAGCATCAAATACTCAAATACAATATAAAATTCACATGCCAAATCAAACAGGGATGCAAAATATGTTTTGCACTGTATTTGAGAAACCTTGAACTCTGTGATACTGACAGTGATATTTCATTGCCTTGTGACACACAAAAAAATTAGCCTGGAGGTTACAGATTGCGTAAGATGTAGCTATTGTTGTGGTGTATTAATGACATTGGTGTGGCAACCACATGGTGATACTAAGAATCAGTTCACTAACTGGTATTTCAGTTTGACAAAAATGACAGAACAATGGTTGTCAGTTTTCATTTGCTGTATAGGTACCTGCCCTATTACACTCCTTGATTGTTTATCCATTGTCCGGGCCAAAGGTTATTTTATTTTGGACTTATACATAAATGAGTGATGGAGGGCACAGGTTAATTTAGAACAAGCTCTGAATCTGTGACCATCTGTTACCACTGAACTTGACATAATGTTACCTTTGACTTGACTTCATTTATGGAATAATTATTAAAACTGAATATTTTGAACAGTCAACTGTCCAAGAAGTTTTCTAATTTTAGTGGCACTTGGAATCCTCATGTTCCATGAAGCAGGAGACGAACTGAAGCAAATCCACTGTCATAGTTTAGAGCTTGACATATGATGTTATGGCCAAAAGCTTTTTGACTTGGATTTCAAAGTTTCTCTTCTCTCTCTCTACAGTTATTTTTGTTTTTATTTTGGTAACACCATCTAGGTACAAGGCTGTAGCCATGATTTTAGAAATAATTAAATATATAGCCACCAAAAGAGTCTGTACATTGTTTGGATTTGTTGACATTTTATGTGTTCCTTTGACTGTTAAAATATATTTTCTTCTTATCTTATTGTCTATTCTATTTCAAAACCCTTTTCATAATTTGATTCTCTATATTGTCTTTTTTTAAATGAGCACAGTCAAATATAAGTGTGTATAACCTAAAAATACATACAAATGTGCAATTAGGTGTAAGTTTTGAATGTTAATTAAGTCTACCTTAGGCTTTTTCTGAAACAGTTACGAGATTTCTAGTAACAATACTGAGCATATGACCTCAGTGGTAGATACAGCCATGCCTTGTCTGTCATACCCTCGTGTGTTATGTAGTGTACCTTAATTTATCCTGAAGGGTTGATTTGCCATTAAAAAATAATACCTTTCTGAAGTGTATGTTATTTAAGAGCAGTAAAATAAAAAAAGACTACTGCGCTTCTTCACTATAATAAATTGCTCATTGATTACAGTCTGTCATCTTTAAAATAAAACAACACCTTAATTAACACTGAAACTAAGAAATTCCCCAAGCACAGCAACAACAATCAGGTGCTAGTAGATAGCAGGCAAAGTCTATGAAAAATCAAATAAACTACTGCACACTGGTCTGACTTTACTATTGTGACGTGTTTCACCTATTGCTTCTTCAGGCTCACATAATCAAATTACAAAAACACTTAAAGGTGTGTTAAGTAAAGTAAAATATATATATTGTGATGTTTGTTGATCTGTTAGCACATTCTTGCTGTTTATACTATAATGCTTTGTATAAGATGTTAATTTTATAGGTGTCATGGAAAACATGGATTGTGCTGGTCACATGACCTGCACAGGGTCTACTTAATACACCTTTAAGTGTTTTTGTAATTTGACTATGTGAGCCTGAAGAAGCAATGGGTGAAACGCGTTGCTCACAATAAAGATAGTAAAGTCAGACCAGTGTGCGGTACCTTAATTAACACCTTAATAATAGCACATATATTGAATTTAATTAGTAAAGTGGCTTAATTAACAAATTTTGTACATGAGAAATACACTGTGCACTTCGGTATACACTATTTTTATTCTGTTTTATGGTGCTGTCATAAAAAGTGTTCTATTAATAAACAGAACTGCAAGGAAAATTTCACCGGCCATTGTGACCTGTAGCCTTGGTAAGCGGAATACCAAATTGCAGTAAGTTTCCGTTTTGACAGTTACCATCTATCAGTGACTTTTCAGAGGCATCAAAAGGCAACTGGAAGGTAAAAAGAGGCCAGAGGGGCTGCTTATTGCCTCTCCATTATTTTTAAACAACACAAAATGATGTAACTTAGAAAGTCTTGGCAACAACGGTCAGAAAGAGGCTGTCACTAAAACTGACTTCAGGACATGTAATGGGATATTTAAATAACAACACAACAGGCTAAATTGGCAGAAATTACCATAAAGTGGATTCAACACCTGTCACAGTAGAAAACTGAACACTGCTGCACTTGAGAAAGTATTTACAGTATTGTACCTGCATAGAATTGGATTGCACTATATTCTGCAGGTGGCAGATATTTTGTCAATCCTCTCTATAACAATAAATATTTTGGTATTTCATAATGCTCTGCCTGATACCACATTTAGAACAAACTCTTCAGATAACAGCATATGAAACAACAGTTTTTTTCTGGATGTCACTAGCTTCACTCTCAGATATTCATTTGTTGAGATGTTTTGGCTGAAACAGTTTTGCAGTGAGGCTAAAGCAGACACCGTGACAACAAGAATGTACAAAGAGCTACAACTGAGATGGTCTCAGACCCGCTGCTGAAGTCACTGCCGGCTGCTGCCACACACACAGCATCATGAAGTTGCATCAGCACCATGTCAAGCATGAATTTCAAGTACACTGCTCAACTTTCAATGGGCTGTGACTTTCACAATTGACTCCACTGGCGGCACTGGACCCTGAATGCTTACTGAAGTATTTGTGTTGAGGAGAAGTTTCCAAGGCAACTTCAGGACTGCTGCCACACTCTTACTGTTAGTAAACCCTACATGCTGTGCTAAAACTTTGGGAGGATGGAGGTGCAATGCTTTGAGTAAGCTGATTTAGCTGCTCTTGCTGACGTTTCAATAGCTCCCTCATCTCACCCATCTCAGACACCTGGGGGGAATTAGCCGCCCGCTGGGGACCACTCTGGACTCCATACTGAATACCGAATGCTGATGGAATGGAGTGACTTTAGTGTGCATATATACCATACAGATTTCCATAGTAACTGCTAGTAATTGTGGCATTTGAACAAACGTAAACATATCTCAACTTCATTAGTGGCCACATTTGTTTGGATAGCCAGTAGCATTAAAGTCAGTCAAGACATTAAAGCACCTATAGCAATATATTTCGGTTTGTGGCAACAGATTCACAATTGGATTTCATTATTTGTTTTAAAAATGTCCTGTCCTAGTCAAAGTTTGGGAGTCATGGTGTGCTTCAAACATTTCTATTAAAACTGTCAGACTACAGTTATGATTGCCATCAGTGGCAGAGGATTATAAGGTGCAGAGGGACAAACAGACCTTTACCTTCCTCCGTCTTAGCCTGAGTACTTTATCTCTTCACAAATGATTTCATGCCCTTTTTATTCAGTCTAAAATTCTTTAGACATCTCTTATATTCATACTTTTTTGGTCGTAGTTACCGCTCGATTCTGGAATAACCTTTATTATTGTGTTATTGCACTTACTGTCAGTTAGTCACTTCCTTCATTACATCTTAATCTCGTATATTGCACACATCTGGATGGATTATACCCATGTATACAAAAAAATAGTGCAAGAGAGATAATGTACTGTGTAAGTATTATCTTATGTGTTTCTCTGGGATAGAATGGCTAGAATAATGGAAGGAAAACAAACCAGTCAACTGAAGAGAAGAGAAATACCGAATCTCTAAGTTATTCTAGTGTGGGCGGGTTTGCTTAACCTGCACAATGGGCTCCCTGCTGTATGTGAATATTTAAGGGCAGGTTCAACAATGCACACACCACTAAGATAAGTCTTTATTGTTACTGTGAACATCTCTGACTCGCCTATTGTAAGCTGTCCGCAAAAATGGCTGGTAATTTCACTGCAATTTTACTTTTGTTGCTCTGCATCATTCTCCCAGGTTTTTCAGCTGATGAAGCAAAACATTTAAACTGTAAGTATCTGTTTTTTTTATAAATGATTTTGCTAAAAGCTATTGTCATCTAAAAAGTTTCATAATCTATTATAAGTTGAAATATAAGGATTGGAAAAATAGATTGTAATAAAAGCTAATAATAGCAAATATGGCTTTATTACATATTTTCAACCATATGTGGGGTACTACTCACCTGCATCTCTTCATGAATTAGAGAAAGGAGATATACCCATGGAAATGTCAGTGTCAACATTCATATGTCTCATTGAACATTTCTTCTCTATATATCTTAAAAAAATTTTAAAAAAGCTGTGAAGACAACATGTTCCTCTCGCTTTGTGTTTTGCTTTAAAACAATTTGGAAGATTTAACACCAAATCTGCCACAGTGAATATGCTGCATATAAGGCTGGGGAAGCTCCTGCTCTTAGTTTTGTGTATTGAAAGTGATGATGCCTCGAATACATTCAAATACTAATTATTTACTGACAAGTAGCCCGGGAACCAGACTAGTCTGCAGAGCTCATGTTTCATTTGCTCTGGCAGATACGTCTGGCTCTCCTGCCATTCTCCTCCCAAATCTTACACAGTTATGCACAAGTGAAAATGCTGCATATGAGGCTGGGGAAGCTCCTGTGCTTGGTTTTGTGTATTGAAAGTGATGATGTCTCAGATACATTAAATACTAATTATTTACTGACATTTAAAATGCTAGCACTTGTAAGGTGGGCATAGACAAAGGTTCTGACAATATTGTCAAATATACAGTCAGCGATGGAAGAAATACTCAGATCCTGCATTTAGCATACTCCATTTCTTTATTCAAAATCCTGTTTATATGAAAGTACAGAAGTACTTTAAGTACTAGTTCTGGAGGGAAAATATACTCATGCGAGTGATGTATATGACGTTTGATTATTATTACTTACACAGTGTAGTATTTTTATGTTATAGCTGGTCGACGTGGACCAAATTAAAACAATTTTTTAGATACTTGTTTAGATACATATCTTGTAAAATACAATGCTCAAATAAATGTGAGTACAAATCCATTATCAGAAGAAACATTACAGCTGTGCGGCAGAAAGTTTGAAATTTATTTCAGATTTGTTTTCTCCTGTAGATCAACTTTTCTCACTTAAGATCATCCCTGCTGAGTCAACGCACATGTAGGCACGACATAGTCTTCACTCCTCTTTTGTGTCTTTGTTTGAGGAAGTAACCACTTTTACTGTATATGTGTCACCTATGCACGTCAATCATAACTTAATTAATTATAAATTATAAACCCCTGGACTTTAATAGCTCTAGCTAGTTTTCTGTTCATGTTTAAAACATTCTGCACATTCAAAATCTATCTGTGTTCTCTGTCATTTTGCCCACATTCATCATGAGCTGAAAAAGAAACAAAGAAATTGTCTTATTCAAGTATCATAAATGAGTCCAATAAAGAAAAAAGTTTCATTACTGTCCATCATGTATTGCAAGGATTTTGCTGAATCTTGTCGATGGATTTTATCATTTGAGAATGGTGCGTCGCTTTAAATGTTGCTTCCCTCAAGATATTGTGGGACAGCATTATCTCCTTTCCTTTCGTAAAACATGTGTCAGTGTACCCGGCGCTAAAGGAGATGAGAAAGCGAGCACTGAAGCACCTTTCCTTAGCTTTTAGAGAATTTGGCCACCTCTCATCATGGCAGCCACATTCCAGGTCACTTCACTCAGTTAGAACCTTCCTAAGCAAAAAAATACTTTTTGATCACAGCCCAGATATGAAAATTGCATTTTACCTGCCTTAATGTACCCCCATTTTTAGAACTTTTTTGGTCTGCATCCATTGATAACACCCCTAAGAAAACAAAAATGAAATGAGAGGTTGCAGACTAAGGCCAATTTCTGCATCGAATCTATGCCATATGCACACCTAAGCCTAAACGTAGCCACGTACCCTACGCCATACCCAACCCTATGGCCTGACACGCACCTCCCCAAAAAAACACCCTGCGGCAACGCAGACTGCAAGAACTGTGATTGGTTGGCTTCGTAGCATCAATTCTTCCAATGTATTTCAAGCTTGTCCTTCAGCCTCAACTGGTTCAAGGGTCGCACATACCATCTCTTCTGACCCCTTCTCTCATTTCTGCTTTTTAGTAATTTAGTAATCTAGTTATCACTAAAAGTAACTGCTGTTCAATATTGATCAGCTACAACTCCAACCTCACCACCAACTAGCATTTTGGTGGTGTAATTGCCGAGCCACACAGATGACACACAGCCTATGCCTTTGGCTACAGTGTAGACGCAGAAGTATAAATTGGCCTTAATATGCATTTTCAAAGTCTGATGCCATGCTAGAGTAGAAGTAGAAATTAGGATAAAATACATCAATACAAACATTAAGGACCTCAAATTGTAAGTAAAGTACTTGTGTGAATGTATTTAGTTACTTTCCACCACTATACACAGATGAAATTTTACTTACAAACAAGTGTGTAATTCCAATTTAACATACTTTTGCTGTTATGTATTCTGTATCTTTCAGCCAAATCTGCGAAGGAACTGCTTATCTCCTCATATCAAGAAAGCCTTCAAATTGTACATGAAGCCTTACTTCACTCTAGAGAACGGTAACTATCAAATTGTCTGTATCTGTTTTAACTGCATCCATACCTGTCCGAGAAAGGACTGAAGAAACCAAAACTATCCTTTAATCTGTCAATTTCTGTGCCCAGACGAAGCACATCCTCGCCTTCCACAAATGTGTTTACATTCCTTCGGCAAACAGAGCCGGAGACCCTGGAGATTTCCCAAGCTGCAGAGGTTTTTCAAACAACTTTGCAAGTCCTAAAGAACAGAGCAAGACACAGACACAAAAGGGATGTCACGGCACCAGGTAAAATTGCTTTCACCACGGTGTCAAAACAACTTTAACACAACCAAAATATCTAATTAGTCAACAGCCATTTTAATAGTCTTCCAAAACACTAGATAATTTAAACCATGGATCACCAAAATGTGTGTCCTTTCAGATCTGATATGCTCTTAAAAATTGGCAAGATTAAATTATATTAATTGTTTTCTTGTGCTAACTTTCCTGTGTCACTTTCAGCATTGCTTTCTTGGGAGGATGTGGAGCTAATTGCAGAGCTGTCTCAATGTCCTCCTGCAACACATCCAACCATCTGTCAGCACAGTCATCTCAACAAGTACCGCTCTATATCTGGCCTCTGCAATAACAGGTAGCTAACTGACTTCTCACCTTTTGATGAGTCAAACAACAATGCAAGCAGATTATTTCTGAAACTAGATTCAAAGTAAATAAATTTTTTGATTGAGCCTCTATGGAACGCATTATTTTACCAGTGGGTAAAAAAAAATATTGTTGTGGTTTTTTCATTGTCATTAAATGGACCAAGTAAACATAATTTAAAGAAATTTCAAAAAATATATTTGGTTTTACATTTACATTACAAAGTTTACATTAAAAATCTTTAAATCCAAACAGCGAAAACATGCTGAAAATAAAGACAGAGCTACCTTCTATCAATTCATCATTTGTGTTAGATGTAAAAGTGTGTCTTCAGTTTTCTGGTGCCATTTCAGGTATGTGTTACTTTGCAGCCGTCTTTGGCTCAATACTAATGGAAGTTGACAAAGCATAGAAAGTCAACAAAATGCAACACATTATCAATAAGTGAAAACAAGCTATTAAATAGGTTTCCTCCCTATCTTATTATATGTCACTGCACTTTAATCCCCACCGCTCTTCTTCACTCTTTTCCTCATCTGCATTCTTAGACTCATCCTCACAATCACTGTCACTTTTCTGGCCGAATTTCCAGCAACTCGCTGTTTTCCTCACTACTAAATCTTTATTAATTCTCAGTACCATCAACTGGAGGTGCCCTCCTCTTTGATGAACCATAGAAAACCTTTGTGTTCATCCTCTTAATGGAAGAACAATGTGTTGACAATGTGTTTGAATTAATTAAATTTCTGTTAACTGTTTGTTAACTTTTGAGCTGTACATAAACCTAATGCACAACACCAAAAAATGGCATGGTGGGATTCCATAATGGTATGATGTTGCTTCAAGGCTACATTTGAATTTTAACCATTTTCCTTTATATAATTATCAAATAAATTATATTAAACAATTAACAATGAAACTTTTCTCTCCTATTATTGTGAATATAATTCTTCTGGGTCAAATGGCATAAAAATATGTTTTGAAGGCAGTGTAGTGCAGAGAGAAAATGGAGCTGAACCATGTGTCAAAGCCAGCAGTAAAAGGATTCATAATGTGCGCCAGAGAATCATGTGACAAATTTCAACACTGCTATTGGTTTCCTTAAGGCCCTGCAACTCTTTTAAAGTAATGCATCATATTTTGGGATGTTTGGTGGAGGTGCACTAGGCCAAAAATGTGTATGTTGCCCAGAGGCAACACTGTACCATAGAGGGTTAATTATGTAAAGTAAACAAATAAGCATTGGATTCATTGATGAAGTGAGAAAAGTGAGAGAAGGTAAACACCACTTTTTAAAGTGGTTAAAGAGGTTTTTTCTTCTTCAGATTTTTATTGCAGCTAGAGGATACTTGCATGCAAGTGGCAAATACGAGTGCTGTTTTTATGAGTGATTTAATTTTAAAATAGGCAGTTATGAACATCTAGTTCGCATAGTTCGCTGTATTCTAATTTTCTCTAAAATTGCTTCCACATGCTACTGATTTGCAACAGCAGATCTTTTGGAGGAAACACAATGCTGCCTGGATTATGTTTTTAGTCAACATAATGAGCAAACGTTAATTAAGGTATCTGGCATGCAAAATGTTCATACTAAACTTAAGTTCACTGACAATGCATCTAATTTGTTTTACTATAATATCTGCTCTTAGAAACTACACGCTAATGGGATTATTGTAGCTGTGCTTTGTACATCTACCATCCACCTTGACTTCCTTGTGATTACTGTACGATATTAAAACATTTCTTGAGACAGGCTTGTTTTACAATAGTCAACAGTTCTTCTTTGATGATGTCTTTAGCAAGTGCTATTGCTTTGAAATCTTGCTCTCAATAGGTTGTAATGCAGCGATTTTGATCCTATTTTTTTAAAAGAGCCCGACAATGTTATGTGTGCACTGCCAATCAATGGAGTACTCTTTTAAAGCAGATTTTGGCTTCTTCTTTGTTATATTTATTTCAATCAATCACTGTTGTTGTTTCTGCAACAGCAAAGATTGCTTGAAAAAACCCACATCAGTCACTGTGTAGCATGCAGTTTTTCCCAAGGAAGGACCCCTCATAACAGCAAATAAATATGTTAATGAACTTACTACACCCTTATTCAAAAGTGTATAAGTCATTGACTGACGTATCAGCATATTTATCAAACCTCACAATTAGCTAACCTTGCATATGTAAATGATAGTAATTTGACACTGGTAAAAATGTAGTATTTTAAACTCTTTATGAACTTATAGAGGAAAACAAATGATGACCATTCAGTGATGGCATATACGATTTTGCAATGCAGTATTTTTGGACACGCTTCATGATTCTTTTTGTCAGGCAAAATCCTCTCTGGGGAGCAGCCAACACTCCCTTGGTCAGATGGCTTCCAGCTGAATATGAAGACGGAGAGAGAGAACCCAAGGGTTGGAACCGAGGACGGCTCCATAATGGATTCCAACTTCCCCCGGTAATCTACAAAATGCTGGTCCGACAGACACAAAAATCTTGGTGGAGAAATTAGAAATGAAGCGAGTTCTCCCTGCAAACCCAAGTTAATGTTGCTTTCCATTTATTTCCTAACCTGTTTTACAGCAGATAAAGTCCACAGCAATTTAGAAACATTAGTGTGTGTGAGATGACACAGATTACAGTTGCATTTGAATATTGTGGCTATTTCCATAGCTTGGAAGGAGTTGGTTTCCAGACTTGTGAATACACATTATTTCTTTCAAACAGCAGAAGAAACTAATATTTGCATTGAATTTCGGCCTTAATTTATGCATTGCACAGCGAGGTCGTTTAGTGGCAAAACTCATCAAATATACATTAGTTGTATGCAGCCTGCAGTTTACCTCCATGTATAAGACCTATATTTTACTACTGTTGTAAAAATAATTAATAATATTTGATCCTGACTATTCTATTTCTTACAAAAAGGAATAAAGTAAATAATATTTTGAATTTAAATGCATTACATAACTCATTTTCAATCAGTATCTAAAGTCTTTTTTGTTAGCAAAATTAAGAAATGAAAGAAAAGAAACTTCTCTCAGCCCCTTTGTTGAGCTTAGCCATTTGTCTATTTATAACATGACTTAATGAATAAAAGAGTGAACTAGTTCACACAAACAAGAAAGCTATCATCTATCATAACATGGGACACGATGGGCCTCCCCCAAATGATATGTTTATTTCTGTTAATGATGAGATAATAAACCCACTGACTAATGAATGACAAGTCACTGCAGACTGGGGGGAAATTAAACTGCACATTTTTAAAAGGCAGGTACTCATTGTCATCCACAATAACTTATCCTATACTGTGTCAACAGCCACGGGAAGTCACCAAGAAAATACTGAAGAGTTCTTTTAAATGGAAAGATGATGTGTATTCACACCTGCTGGTGGAGTGGGGCCAGTACATTGACCATGACATAACATTTACACCTCAAAGCACTGGCAGTGGTGTGGACTGTTTGAACACATGTGAAAATGTGCATCCATGCTTTCCCATTGAGGTAAACTAGTCTAAACAACCGTTGTATATTTTGCTTACCTCTACTGTAATGTGCTGTATTTTAAAGGACTAGTTTGACATTTTGGGAAGTACACTTATTTGCTTTCTTGTCAAGAGTTAGATGAGGAGATCAATACCACTCTCAAACCTGTCAGTATGTATGAAGCTGCAGCCAGCAGCCAGTTAGCTTAGGTTAGCACAAAGACTTTCTGGACTTCCTGACTTCCCATGCCACTAGCGGAAACTCCGGGAATTCACTGCTCTCGACCAAGAAATACTCAGGCACATAACCACAAACTGGCAGTTTTACACTTTGCACTGTTTAAGTACAGATTAAACAAATGAGATATATTGTGTTCATTAGTGAGCTTTAGAGATGCTGGTAGGGGAATTGTGTTAAGTCTAAGCTAAGCTAACTGTCTTCTGACTGCAGCCTCTAATTAAGAAAGACAAACATGAGAGTGGAGCCAATCTTCTCATCCTGAGCAAGTCAAACTATTCTTTTAAAATTCCATCATCACAAAAGCGAATACATTTCATGTAGATCAAAAGTAGTCTAATATGCTATTGAAGCAGCTTGTAAAAAAGGTTTCTTTCCTACAGACAGGTGATATCTCTGGTGCACAAGGCTGCATGCCTTTTCATCGCTCCATACCAGCCTGCTTCGTCAATTTTGGGTCTGATATTGGACAAGCTCTGCAGCGACAACAGATGAATGCAATCACATCATTCATGGATGCTCAGGTTGTGTATGGCCACACTCCAAAGCTGGAGAGCTTCCTTCGTGACCTCTCGGGCTTTAATGGAAAACTTGCTGTCAATGACCAATTTAAGGATCCCAAAGGAAGACCCTACCTTCCATTCATAGCCACTCTGCCTTCAGCCTGCCAACAGGATCTGCAGGGGGAGAGAGTGGAGTGTTTCAGTGCTGGAGACAGTCGGGTCAATGAGGGTCTGCCCCTGATCTCTTTGCATACACTGTGGCTTAGGGAACACAATCGAATTGCAGATGCATTGAGACACATTAATGACCACTGGAGCCCGGAGACTATATACCAAGAAACTCGAAAGATTATTGGAGCTCTGCACCAGGTATGTGACTAAATTGTTTCACTATGCCAAAATTAAAAAAAACTATTAAAGATGATTGAAAACTGCACTGTGTTTACACACCGGAATAAAAAATTCGTAGTGCACGAACTATCAATTATTTGCATTATAATATAATGTATTATTTTTACATTATCTGTACGCTAAGTATGAAGCTACAGCCAGGTCCGGGTGAGGTTAGCTTAGCATAAAGATGAAGAACAAAAAACAGCTAACCTGACTCAAAAAATCTAGTTTCATTTGTTTAATCCATACAAAACCCAAAATGTAAAAAGACAAAACATTGTGGTTTTAGACTCTTCGCTGGTTGCCTGACAACCTCACAACAGACTCAAACAACTTCCTGTTTGCCAATACAACAAACAGGAAGTCGCTGTGCCAGGCTAGCTGTTTCCCGCAGCTTTCAGTTATGCTAAGTTATGCTAGCCCTAGGTTCCATATTTAGATACAGATAATTATAATAATAATAATAAATTTTATTGATAATGCACTTTACATTTCAATGAAATCTCAAAGTGCTACAGTAGCAGGGGTTAAAAACAGTTCCCAAAATATAACAAAATCAACAATAGCAATGATAAGATAGATCATTGCTAAGATAGATTTTGATCATCAAAATTCTGTCAATCAATCAAACTACTAATCAACTACTTGTTTTAGCTCACATTTTAACTGTTCAGTGAATAGTGCTACAAATGTTTATACTGTTTTTAAAGTGATTCTAAATGAATTCTAAATTCATTGCCTTTTAGAGTAGCCAGTGCTTTTCTGTTTCTTGTACCATGCCAAAAATGTAATGAGTTTGACCTTCTATTGCTGAAGCAAAGTGTTAACATCTCTTAATATCACAAAATCATCCATCTTTGAACCTCACAGAGGTCTCCAATGAAGTGCAAAAAATACTTTTAGAAAAGTGGCATTTGGTCAGCCTATATTTTTTTCAAAACAGCCTCTGTACTTCCATTCAGTTTTTCAGGTGTGTGCTGAGGGCTCTTAATGCTTTTAAACAGGTAGCTTGTACACTTCAGGCTCTCACTCATTGACGTCAGTGGTTGGTGGAAGAATGTCCCTTGGGGTGACATTGCAGTTGTCACTCACTTGTTTTTCTACAGTTTGTAGCCACTGTGCTGCAGTGAGTTTAACCATGGACTGGTTTTTTTCAACTGCCCAAACTACTTTTAAATAATGAGTCCACATGCAAATTAATCACCATTAGAAAACTCAAATTTGATAGTAGTGGTGTAAATACTTGTGATTCAGGGCGGGTAAGAAAGCAGAGAACAAGAACAGGGAGAAATCAAATGTTTTATCAAAAGTTTTACTTTGGTTTTTCAACAAGAACAGTAGATTTATGAGAGATTCAAAGGGATTTGATTAAAGTCTGAAGATTATGGACACTTTGTACCCTACAATCTGCACCTGTACTGTAGATACTGTTGGTGAAAGTAAGAGACACGGCTATGATGGAAATAAAGGCCAATGTGATTATTCACAACTATAAAGTTTCTATTGAGAAGCACAAATGATGCCTGAGGGGAAACAAACTAATCTAGCATTTATGAGCACAATGATTTTATCATGTGCAGATGTCAGGAATGTGAGCATGTTGCAATTACATGTTATTAAAGAAGGGAAACTTATGAAAGATGTAGGGAGAAGTATTGTTTTCAAATTTTGTACAAGAAAACAAGAGATTCTTTCTGATATGAGGCGAATTGTGACTCAGGGTCATTACAGTGTTCACAGTGCAGAGAAAAATAAACCTTGGACTTTTTGCAGAGATGACAAAATAATTCTTAAACTGCACCACAATGATAGAAGTACAGTTAAGCTTCAGAAAATTAATGTTCCGACGCCTGCTGAATTCATAAAGCTGACTATTAACCTTATTTTAAATTCAGCAAAACATTACATTACCATTTGAAATTCAGAACAGCATCTTTGTCTCAGTTACTTTCTGCCATTTAGCAAGAGCTTCTGTTTGAAAATCTTAATGGTGGAAATTTAAACACCTATTGTTGAAAGTCTTCCATGTCTGCCATGACCCTGTTGCTCTTGGAGAAACAACAGGTACACCTGTGGTGTTTGGAGGATTGTTTGTGTTTGAATATTATATGTAATATATAATCCAGCCCAGTTATACCTAAAACACCTACTATTTCATGAAGACTGGGTATCTGTTGTGGAAGATCATATATGATCAAAAGCTTCAGAGAAGATCCTAGACAGACCTTGTAAACATATTGTTTCTTAATTGCTGTTTTCATGGTCAAGAATGAACTTTAAACCACAGATATCTTAGAGCATTTGACATCATTGCTCTTGATGTAAACTAAATGAACAGACACTAAGAAAGATGCTGGCTATAGTCTAAGGAGTGACTGCACATATGTACAGTATAAGAATGACAACTCACATATAAGTTGGGCAAGTCATGATGAAAATAAATAGTGAAGAACTCTTTGTACTGTATATGGGAACATCTCTACTGAGTAAATTGATTCAGAACTTGTTTGACCCTGACAGCTGCTGTTTTAAGTATGATGACAGTGAGAATCTACCAGCCGTGGAATACATTGCTTTGCTGTCACTGCAAACTCTCAGGAGGATTTTCACCTCAGTGGTGATGCTGTAGTTTCCAAAATTTAAGGCAAAGTTGGCTTCCAACTACGCATCTAACCATTTTTGTTTAAAGCAGCTGTAGTCAACATTTTTGTAACAACAGATTACATGACTATTTGTATGTAAAAAGTAGTTGCTCGTAGTGACAAAAAAACAGAAATCACCCACCTCTGCAGTTCCCCTCAGCTCTACTGACTGTTTAGGCATATTTTGATTCATTTTTTGGTTTTCTGGCCCGCAACTTTACTGTTTCAGTTCACTCTCACTGCTCTCATAGCATTGTTTTCAGCCTCGGCAGGCAACTGTTGTCAGAGTAAAAGCCCCCAAACCCACCGTGCTCTCCTCAGCACCAAATGGCAGACAGGCACAGTTAGCGACTTGCTATTGAGCACAGTTCAGCAATTAGCACCTTAAAAAGCACATATTTCCCTCAGGAGTTTGTGGATCCCAAACACAGAGACAAAAGAAGAATGAATATTTGAATAGCTTGTTTACATGAGAGCTTTTTAAGCTGCATTTTTCAGTCCTCTGTCTCATTGCGTCTGATGGAACAGATACACTTCTATTTTAATCAATACAGCTATGGCTCAAACTACCTGACGTGTATTTTATGCTTCAAGTCTATCCCATTTTACTTGTGTAACTACAGTGATTGTGTGTAAGGCAACATTTTAGTCCTCTGTTTAGTCCTTAACCTTGGCTTTTTTCCTTTCCTTTTCTTTTTTCAATTAAGAAACAACTTCCTCAGTGGTTTCAAATGTGTATCTTTGAATTGTCTTTTCTTCTGCTAATATCCACTTGAGCCAGAGTGCAGCTAATGTGGTTTTGCGTTGCTAGTGCAAACCCTAGACACTTTTCTGCTAGGATGACATAAGGCTCTTCATTGCAGGGCAGACTTCAGAGCCATGCGGAAAAAGATGACAAGTCATAATCCTTCATCATATAAAGTGTCTCCATGCAAAGAAAACAGTGACGCTTAATACCAGTGAGCACAAACATGGATTTTCTGTCCTCTTACTATTCTGTCTGTGTTTAGTTTTTAACGTGGTGAGATTTTGTTGCTGCTATTACTTTTTTTGTAGCACTCGGATGGATAGGAGACAGGTTGTACAGCAATGACTGATTAGACTGACTGCTGATAGCAGCTATTTGTACTAGCTGTAGGCTGGGAGCATTATTAATAATAAAGATGTTGGGTGCATACATTCTACATGTAAAATAAGAAACCTGAATTGTTCTAATAGAAATTAATTGTTTTTAGAAAAGGGAACCAATGACCCTGGTGCTGCGCTGTAAAGTTTCTAAAGCATTTGTGAGCAGAGTGGAAATAAGTCTGTAATCTTTCAGAGTTTGGTAGCTGACATTTGACCACAGCAGTGGATTAACAAATGCTATTTTCAGGTGACTCAGGGACAATGCCAGAGGAAAGAGATTTACAATATTAGAGATGGGTCTAAGGGTTCCTTAAATCATTTGTGGGGATGAAGTATAAAAGGTAGGTAGAGGATTTACATACTGTAGCTATAACCATGACCAGCTTGGAAAATCCCTGTATTGGAAATGGAGTGAAATATGGGGCGCTATCTGGTCTGAGCAGCCTGCAAACCGGCAGAGTGTAACGTTATCGATTTCTGTCATAGAAAAAAAAAAATCTCTAAGCTGAGATGAAGAATTAAAGAAGTTCTAAAGCGCCCAGTTTTGGTTTCTCAAGAGTCCTTCATGGTAGAATGTAGCCTTTAACAAAAATTTTGTACTTTATTTCCCAGCCACCATTGGATGATTAATACAGACAATGTAGCTCCACTCTAAGCATAAGAAATAAAAGTAAATTGTCAACATACACTTTTAAGGTTTGTTAAAAAACACACCTCATGCTACAATGTTATGTTATAAATTAATGACACTGGTGGGCATTAACTGAACTGCAGTCTGCATCCTGTTGCTTGCGCTCACCCTCCATAGGCTTGAGTGAGCAACATTCTGGAAAATACACTGCAATCATATTTTGAATAATATTACAATCGGTTCCTATATTTTATTTGGACTACTGGCTACATAAGAGCTTGCTGTTTGCAAAGCACCCCCATCAGCTACAAAGCAGCCAACCCCAGCTTAGCTTAAGGTACAGTTAGCAAGCTAGCCCCCCCTGCCTTGCATCGCTCTTGGCTAGAAGAAAGCAATCATTAGTTATACAAAGGGGTAAAATTCATGCGCCAACAACAATACCAGAATTTGTCAAAATTTTATTCCAACTCAATGCTAAACCAGGTGACTTCACTCACCAATAGAACCGAATTTTGAGGTAGAGCGGGTCGCCACCTAATCGTAAGGCATTTCATTGCCCAGTTTTCCAAGATACTGAACCCCAAATTGCTCCCAAAGGGTGTGCCATCGATGTGTGAGTGTGTGTGAATGATTAGTTTCTTTCCGATGAGCAGTTGGCACATTGCATGGTAGTCTCTGCCATCAGTAGCTATATTTATATGTGTGAATGTGACATGTAGTGTAAAACGCTTTGAACGGTTGGCTGTAAAATACAGTCCATTTACCATTTATACTTTTTTACTTGGCATTTCATGGTATATGATGGTCATCTATACTATAAGCTAAACCATTATTTTTGATAACAGCAGGAATAGTATAATCTAACCACCATTTAAGCTGCTCTCACTGTCAACATAGCTAAATAGGGCATTCACAAAATTCGATCAACTGTTGATAACTGTAGTGGAACAACGGTGTGGATTTGTGCATTTTATATTGAATAAATTTGGAGCTACTCCAAATTCCTCTTTTCCTCTCCGAGAGAGGAGCAGGGGGTTGCAGATCAACTTTCAACGGACTGCTGGGGAGACCCCAACGGAAGGGGGGGTGAAAGTTGCTTTCTTTAAGTACTATCCCTGGGCAGTTGATCGTAAAACTGGCGCCTTTTTGATCTACGAAGCTGATAAAGCGGTGCCTGACTGTTAAACTGACAAAGGGACAGTAGCCAGCAATTAGCATTTCCCTGAACAGCCTAGCAAAACTGGTCCCCCGACACATGTAACCGTGGCACCTGACCTTGCTCTGTGTTTCATTACCCCATCAAATGGATACCCCTTGTCTCACCCAAGTGTGACATAACCCAGGAAGCCAAACTTTAAATAACCAAAGACTGCAGTCTCCAAAGACTCAAAGCATTTAATTAAGTTTAATTAAATCTTTAGTTACTTGATTACGTTTGCCTCTATTTGAGTAGTTATGTTAACATGTTGTTGCTATCTGTTGTTGATATTAGTGCTTAAAAGAATCTAAATAAGTACTTTTGCAGTGTTTTTATTTTCAGCAAGACACTCCCCCATCAATAAATTCACTGTAATATAATTAAGAACTGTGTTTGTTGCCTATTTCTACGTCCCTGCCACTGATTTAAGATAATTGAGCGATTATTAACTAACTGATCTCTAGTAATAATTGTATAGTTATTAAAAGCTACCTAGGGGTCCGGAGACTCTAGGATTATAACAACTCCGGTGGTGCCCTGAAACAGGAATAATGTTTGATTTTATGAATATTAAAATTCATAATTGGGTATTAATTCTCATAAATTTATTAATATTCATTACTAAATTAGCCATGCTACATAACTTACTATCCCAAAGATCTCTGCTGACGAAGTCTAATTTTGAACCAAAGTAGAAGGCAAAGGTGCGTGCTGTGGTGGCTGACTTTTAACGTTGAAGCACTTGTGCTTGCAGGTTTAGTTTTAAACTTAAAGTTGTACTGTCAGTCAGTAAGCTTGGTCAGAGACTCTTCAGTTAGAAACAGTTTAATTGTGTTGCAATCACTCTGTTCAAAGCAGAAAGCCAAGCAATAACCCCCTCCCTCCCTCCCCACTACTGTTCATTCATAAACTAAGCTGAATGTAACATAAATGACCACTGCTGATATCTTGTGAAATTGTAACATTAAAGTGTTTGGCCATATTGGGAAAAGTTTGCTAGTTATCCAATCCCACCTGAGAAAAAAAGCACCCATCTCTGCAGCCCTTCGCAGCTCTCAGCAGCCTTTCAGCTCATTGTTGTGGTTTGTCGGTCCATATGGTTGAATCCCAACAGCTCTTACCAAGCCCCCCCATTTAAATTCTCAGGCAGCTGCTCCAAGCAAACAAGCGTAGACAGAGTGAATGTAATGTAGGATGCTGTTTTCATACAGCATTATTCTTGACAAGTCACTGTAAAAGCACTGCTTTAATGCATACACATGTGCCATGGCAGTAATTTCTATCAAAAAAAACATTTCCAGGCCAAGGGTAGTGTGCAATTAGGCAGGAAATAAAACATAGCTGTTAAGTGTTTCAAGGCTAGTGCTATGAGGTGGACGCCAGTTAATGTGTCTCTGTTTATGAAATGTTTTACTCTGTCAAGGATGTATCTCTTGATCGTCCCTTCCCTTCTGCTTGTAGTACAACACAAATTTCAGGAAAATCTTACAATCTAAAGTCATTTATCCACTTAAAAATACAGACATTTTGGTTGATTGAACAGTCACAAATTTAAACAGTAGCATCTGAAAACAATCCAAGTTATTACACCACCCTGTGGCACAATAGTGGCTTTTATGATTGGATATGGTGCTGAAATGCCTCCACACCGGGCCTCATACTGTTTAATAGCACTTTACACTAACTGTATGGAAAGTCCAGTAATACTTACATATTTTTTATATATATGCGTAAATTCCCACCTGAAAAGTATTATGGGTATATTTTACTATTTGTCTTTCTGTTTTAATCTTATTTTAATCATTATCTGGTATACAAGTAAACTGACCGTCCAGCCCAGTCAGTGAGTGAGGCCTGAGGGAGGCAGGCAGGCAAGGAAAACAATTCAAACATTCTTTTTAACTGTCTGTGGGCAGCCACTTTAAAGGTGTTGAAGGTGTATTCCAGCAATTCAGTACTGCACTTCCGTTGAGTCAGGGGCCTTGTGGAAAACAAATTAATAAAAAGAATGCTCAAAATTGAAGCGGCAGCGGCTAACAAATCTTGATTTTTGGCCCTAGTATTGTTACGCCCCTTCAAAACATTGGATCCCACACTTCCCATAATGCAACTGGATAGTGTCTTTCATTAGACCCTCCCTGCCTTATAAATGCTCACATCTGTCAAACTCCACACCCCTTGATTTTATGTTACATGCTATAATGCTGATGACATTATCAGGGTTATTTTTTACAGACTCCAAAAAGCTCCTCCAGAGCCAAAGAAGATGTTATTCAAATGTTCTAACAGGCTGAGTAGTACCCTCTTATGACGTGTAAACTGAATTCATGTGTAATATTGTGTGTGCGAGTGCCCTTTTAGAAAGTTTTAAAGAAAGTCTCAAATATATTTTTATGTTGTAGCTAAAAGGAGTAGAAACCAGAAGGAAGGTAGAAATCACCCTAAAAGACTTCTGCTGTAATTAATAAAAATGTTTACCATACACATAGAGTATATGTTGTTTGTATTTTGTCAATGGGCTAAAATGTGCATACATATTGTAGGTATGGTCCTTTAAGCATAGTACATAGATGTGTCAAACAAATATAACATGGATGCAGTGGTAGAAGACGAATTCACATCCTGTACCAAGACAACTATCTAACAATACTTTCAAAAGGTTCTGCTACATTTTTATATTAATATTCTTGACTTTTTTTGGGGGGGGCGGTTCACGCTACACAGCTAAACTGAGGCTTCACTGGCCTTTTGTAGAGTTTTGCATTTCCGCCGACAGTTGCATGCACGTCACAGTATAAAACGATAACATTCTTTGTGTGGTTCATCACAAGCTTAAAAGAACTGGTTTAATCTTTATGATAATGTTTTATTGCAAGTTTACCACGTTTATTTAATGTAAAATATAAATTGAAAAAGTAACTAGTAACTATAAGGTCAGGTAAATGTTCCAAACTGAAGTTCTTCAAAATGTTCTTACTTTCTTTCCACCACTGCATGGATGACTGTTCCCCTAACTTTAAGTCGTAAAGAGAAAGACTGCTCATTTCAGAAAGACTGACAGTGCAGTCTGTTGACTGCTTCTCAAATGGAACTAGGATTATCTCCAGGACGGCGGCTTAGAACTGAGTCAGCCTAAGCTGTGTTTTCTTGTCACAGTTGACATGTTGTGGCTTGGCTTTAGCTTGTGCAGAATGCTGCTTGTATGTCAGTAATACATAATAAACACATGTTAGATTACTATATTTTAGTTTCTCTTTGCAGTTTTCACATTTTAAAATTGTATTTCGAGTTTGTAGTCTGCACTCAACAAAATTGTGCCTGATTCCAGTGCTCCATTTTGTATTTGAAACTACATAACACCAAATGTGATATGTTTGTGCACGTATGTGCGTTTGCATCTGTGTGCAAGCATGCGTGTTTATGCATTTGTGTGATATGTGTTAAGATTCAGGGGGCAAACTGAAGCCTTTATAAATAGTAATGAAGAGAGATGGAATTCTCTGCGGTAAACTGTGAGAGAACAAATGTGCAATAATACGTCCAAGCCCGCAATATTGCAGAAATACTCATCTCACCGCAAATCCCATAGGGATCCCTTTTAGCTGTATGAATACACATCCAGAGACATTTCACAGACAAGGCATTGTTAATCATTTGCAAGTAAAATATGTTTTGAGTAATTTGTTATGAGTTACGTTGTTATTCAAACTCTTGTGGCTTCATAGCATGCGTGTGATGCACACGATCTTTAGATATGAGATTTTCTTTCGTGACTATTAAAAAAATTATCTTCTGCTTCTTTGTGACTGACAACTCCCCCCTTCTTGATTCGCAGATCATAACCATGAGAGATTATGTTCCAAAAATTATTGGCCCGGACTCTTTTGAATATTATATTGGACCCTATGGGGGATATGATCCAACTACGGACCCCACAGCCTCCAATGTTTTTGCCACTGCTGCATTCAGGTTCGGCCACGCTACTGTCTCTCCAATCCTCAGGAGACTGAATGAGAGCTTCCAGGAACATGAGCACTTCCCCCACTTGAGACTGCACAACACTTTCTTCAGTCCATGGAGAATAGTCAAAGAAGGTCAGTACAATCTCATAGCCTGCCTATAATAACGTATCCTGCAAGCACACTAAATAAACCATAAAAAGTGCGGAAGGAATGAAAAATTCTCTATTTAGATCAGCTTCAGAATCGAATGTATGTCTGTAATAATTAGTTGCATGCAATTCAAGTGACTCTTGTAAGTTAGACCACTGAATAGACATATTTGTATCTATAGAGTATGAAAGCCAGCATCAGTAAGTCATACCTAGTACAAGACATATACAGTGTCCCAGGCGATTCATTGTAGAAGGTGCAAAAATACATCTTACACACTGCAGGGACCTTTACCATTAATTATCAGTACATTACCTATTACATCCTTATGTATGTACTAGGGGTGTCCCTGACGGATTTACATAGTCGAATCTGTGTGTGATTGGTAATCTGGCATAACATGCAAATGCCTGGTGGGCTGACTCACCTTTGGGGCCGGTGTAACATAAATTATTTATTTATTTTTAACTGTTTTTTGAAAATGAGCCAACTATCGGTCCATAAAGCATGGACAGCTTCAACATCAGCTGCAGCTCATTTACACTGGGGACGCTGGGGACATGTAGCCACCACTTTTTGAAAGCATTTGTTAAAAATGTTATGAAAAATAGCTTGCACCAAGAAATATTAATTAACAAATAAAAATGCTATGAAAATGGTTTATTTGCACAATAAACCTGCAATGCAATGTAAATATATAAGAAGCCTCTGCGTGGTCCAAAAAAAGTAACTTATGCAAAAAATAATAATAAGCTACTGATTACTGCATTATATTTTATTACATTTTCATATTGTGAATTGCACCTGTCACCTGAATTTTGTGCTAAATAAAAATAAAGACTTTTCCACCATAAATTGGTGCAGAAAATGTCTCCAGAATTGCAAAGTGCTTAATGCTAAAAACCTTCTGGGGGAGGACCACCAGACCCCCCATCAACTATTGAATCTATAAATATTTTTTTTTAAATAGTAGGTCTATTACAATATATTCTTGTCTTGTAGTCATGCTCATCAATCTTGTGCAAATGTTATGTCTCAGTGTTTTATCACACCCCTAATCTAACCCCTAAATGGAACGATGGTGTGTTGGTGAGGGGTGTCCAACCGGTTTTGGTGGGCTGCCTCGGCCAAAAATGCCAGGGCCAATTTTTTGTCCCAGTCCAGCCCTGGTGTGTGGCGGGGGGTGGGGGTTCATGCTACACAGCTAAACTGAGGCTTCACTGGTCTTTTGTAGAGTTGTGCATTTCCGCCAACAATTGCATGCACGTCGCGGTTCCTCGCGGGTCAATTCCAAGTACTCTTTAAAAACAATGTAATATTCTTTGTGTGGTTCAACAATGATGATTAATGATTATGAACATCTCGCAAAGTTCATGCACAATTCAACCTGACTGTTATTCTCATTCTGTTTGTAGCTCATGCTAACTTTGCACTCACCTCCTCTGCTTTAGTGGGTTTAGCGATTCAGAAAACAAAGTGTACAAAGAATACAAAGAGTACAACAAAACAGCGCATAAGGTGGCATGCAGTGCGAAACTCCAAAAGTTTTCCAAGTAAATTTTAATTCCCCCATCAGCATGTGTTTAACTTATTGTTATTTTATTTAGATGGTTGAGCTTCACTGTATGTGCAGAGTTTGACACTAGAGGCTGTTTTCACATTCAACAATTATATAACAAAAGTTACAGAAAATGTAATTGTAAGTCCAGTTAGTGAGTCCAGTAAGACCTCAGCAACCTTTCAGTCCACTGATGTCCATACTGCAACAGAGCGGAGGATGAGTTTGATGGTCAACGGTAGGAATGATCTCCTGTGTCACTTGCACCTAGGGAGTATGAGTCATCCTCTTCTCCATCCCCACCTCCAGGGAGTTCAGCTCAACCTCCTCTGATCACTGAGCGGGCCTTCGTAACTAGCTTGTTGCATTAATTGTGTCTTTTGCCCTCATACTCCGTCCACAGCACACAGCAGCATACAGGTGCACCTAAAAAAAATTTTATATCGTGGAAAGGTTTCTTCTTTAATTTTATTAAAATAATGAAACTTTAATATATTCCAGATTCATTACACATAAAGTAAGATATTTCAAGCCTTTTTTATTTTAATCTCGATGATTACGGCTTACAGCTCGTGGAATTCAAAACTCCAGTATTGGGTTTAAAGGTACTGCTCATCATCCTATCTGTATCAGCTGCTTGGAGATCATAGTCTAATGAAAGTCATTGAAACACTATTTACACAAAATCTACAATATATTGTGAATACCCTATTCCGTTGCAAAGTGCTACTCTATACAGTAAGTGTCTTTGTGCATGCAATTGTGCTATTTCAATAACTCATGTTACAAAGTAGCTGTCCTCGATATTATGAATAGGATAGGTTAAAAGTACCAGTACTTACACTCCTACACACAATGATTCTTTCTATGTATATTGTCTATATCTGTGAACACAACTTTGTTCATTCTTAACTAACTTAACTTTTTGTTAAATTTACATTTAAATAGATTACACTACCACCATCGCCAGTGAGATGTTTTTGCTGAACTTCAGTGGCTCCAGTTTTCACCTTGCTGCAGTGTAACTGAAGGATGTGTTCAGTAGTCTCACCTCAGAGCACAAGTTTATTGCTTTTATGAAACTATGTGTTATGATAAAGAGCATACTCACCCCCAACAGTCCAGTCACCCTGTTTGCTCAAATTAAATTGTTTGGACACCAGGGAGCCCCAGGGGAGGCAGCAATGCCATCTGTGTTATACATTAACTTATGAACAGCATAAAGAAAGCATACCATTCAGAAAAACACTGTACTCACCAGCCATATATAATCATATATATTCTGTTTTTCATGTCTGTTTGGGATAAGGGATTAAAGGCTGGACTGGTAAAAAAAGATTAGCATGCTGTTTGCTCACATGATCTCCAAATTGTCCAGGACATTATTTTGCCCTTTTTGTATTATCTTGTTGTACACTTAGAGTATTTCTCCAACCACAGAAAATAAAACAACAACCAGAAAATAACTACCTCATATTGACATGAAAAAATAAGCAATGTTGTTTTTGTGTCTAGGTGGAATTGAACCAATCCTGAGAGGTGTAATTGGAACTAAAGCACAAGCTGTTAGGGCAAACATGTTGTTGACAGAAGAGCTAACAGAGAGGCTGGACGTCCTTAACGTGCCACAGCACATGGACCTGGCTTCGCTGAACCTGCAGAGAGGAAGAGATCATGCTCTCCCAGGTAGGTGCTGGGCTGAGAGTCAATGCCATTCAGATAAGCCTGTCAAATCAGAGTGACAATCACAGCCAATGAGAATGTTTAGTCCTAAACGCTTAAACAGTTCCCTTGTCCTTTCCTGTCAACACAATTAAACCTATTGTGTTTATACATTTTTATAACAATCTGTCTGTCAAACCATTCAGAAAAAATGTGAGGTGTACAGGCGGTATTCACTAACTTGAGTAGACAGCATCCTAATAGCATCCTATTAGCAACTTGTTTCCTGCTTCCAGGTTCTTTTTATTATCTCGACTCAGACACTGGATTGACAATGAGCTGACAGTTACATCATTCAGACAGGGTTGGTTATACAGAACTACCAGAAACCATTTTACTGGCAGTAAGATTTTACTAAGCTATTAACATTGATTTAAAATAATTGTTTCATGTGTATTTACTGTCTTTCTGAGAGTTACAAAAGGTCCATACCACGCTCATCTCAAATCTCCCACCAAACTGTTGCGTCATGTTGGATTGTGGGTAGTATAGGAGCCAGGTTTTGACAAAGAAGAACAATGCATGGAATAAAAAGACACCATCTGTGGTTCTGCTGCATTGATTTTGATCCTTTGATCCAGATATAACATGTCAAATAGTGAGTTTTAGAAGTTTTGGTAGGGGGTAGGCTGATTTTCCCAGACATGAGAGTGGGATCAATCTTCTCATCTCTCATCAAGCAAAATGCAAATAAATATGCTCACTATTAAATTATGTTGTGCTAAAATTACTTTTCAGGATATAATGATTGGAGAGCATTCTGTGGACTGAAGCGCATTAAGACACTGGATGATTTCAAGGAGGTTGTGAGAGACTGGAGGGCTGCTGAGAAGATATTAAAAATATACAAACATCCTGACAATATTGATGTATGGCTTGGAGGGCTTGTTGAAAACTTGCTGCCGGACTCAAGAATCGGTCCCCTCTTTGCTTGCCTGATAGGAAAGCAGATGAAAGCGCTTCGTGATGGTGATAGGTACATTAATATTTGCTTAAGTTAGAAAATGCTATGTATTACTATGCTATAACTTAAGAGATCAATTCAAAAATCAAATTCAATTCAAAAAAAGTAAATTTATTGGTCTAACTGTGTGGACTTTATTTATTGAAATGTTTCATTTTAAATGGAGAGACCAAACATTCTTATTTTTCAGGTTTTGGTGGGCAGCTGAAGGTATGTTCACCCAGCAACAGAAGGCTGAGCTTTCAAAAGGTTCTCTGTCTCGTATCATCTGTGACAACAGCGACATAAGGGAAGTCCTTCCTGATTCTTTCAGGTTTGGGAAATACCCATCTGATTACATCTCTTGTGAGCATATACCATCAATGAATTTGGAAGCCTGGAGAGAGGAGAAGAGCCGAGGTGGGCTTGAGAAACAGTCGAGCTAGTCCTAATCCTAATAATGGAAAAATCTTACACCCTCTTTTGAATTCTAGTGTTTTTTTTCTACTACACCTTAACATGACAAAAACTTTTATCACTCAATTCCAGACTTAGAACAGTGTGGTGCTCCAGGAGAAATAAAGAATGGGGATTTTATTTTGTCCTCTACATCTGGCAGATTGGTCGCTCTGTACTCCTGTTACCATGGTTTCAAGTTAAAGGGTGCCACAGCAATAGTTTGTGAGGGAAATCGATGGAGTGATCAACCCCCACAATGTACAGGTACATGAAGGATTTTTTTCAGAACATTTGTTTGTAATGACTGTGTCATGTTGTCTATGTGGAGTAGTTTGTCATGAAAGGGAGACTCCACTGTCTGCCGGTTAATAGAATGTCATGACTGTATGAACTGCTGCATATTAAAATGTGTACAGATCAGCCTTAGAAGGACTTGGTTATAAACCACAGAGGTGCCCCAGCATCTATCTACACTTGGACATGCAGTACTGTAGTGCTCTTGTCTGACTGGAGCTTTACTGCTATCTGCTGGTACTAATGGAGAAAGTGAAATGTTCCAATAGGAACATTGGGAATAGGGCTCCTTTATGATTTAAACCACCTGCCAGTGAGTTTAAGTGTCAAAATGCATATTTTAAATCCTACCTGCAGTAAAAAGCACATAATTGGATGCACTGAATGCCACATCTTTCACATATTTCTGAGAACACCTTCCTATAATTCTGGATATATATCATCACCAGTTTGTAAATGAGTTGACTTTACTACGAGGTGATTGATAACCTGGGTCACAGGCAGCGCCATTAGCCAGGTGGAGTTGAGTCGGGCCAGTTTAAATCTCTGCAACACTGCAACATCCCAAAATAATTCTGTCTTGTTGTGAATCTTTTGAGAAATATGCCTATTTACTGTCTGGCCAAGAGCTAGATGACCTCTCTCATTTCTGTCCAGTAAACGTAATTCTACCGCCAGCAGCCAATTAGTATCAAATCAGTAAGTTGTGAAAATGCAACGAATCCAGAAATACTTAATATAATAATAATTGTTATATAACCAAGTTCAGGGAAACATTGCTATCAGTGTCTCTCGTTCTCTATAATACATGATTTTGTTGATTAAGAGTTTGTTTTTTTCTGAAACACGCACAAACATTTCCAAATTGGTAAATCACTATGATACTGTGATTGATCTTATGCATTAAGCATTGTGCTATATTACTTTTTTTTTATTCAGAAAAAGTATTTCAAACACAGAAGCAGCAAAAAGAGCTGCTTGTTAACCTGTAAAAAAAATGCCTTTCCTTTGTTTAAATTATGCCCAATGAGTCATGCCACATACCACAATGCCACCTTGGCATGTTACCTAATACACACTAAACAATATCTGTACGTTGTTGAGAACATGACTGACTCACCGGTCCGCCTTGCATTGTTAGGCAAATGATGCTAATTCATATTACACTAGGACATTGAGGACGCCTTTGATTTAAACTCAAAAACTAAGGCACTAACAACAAACTATTTTTACACAATCCTTTTGTTCGTCAAACAAATTAATAAGGCGATCCTCACTTTCCTCCGTCCAAAACGTACATCTCGACTAGCTCACAGCCTGAAACTGACTTGACAAGTTAACTTTTCTACAAGCTGACTGACATGACCTGTTGAAACAGGTGAGCTGAGTCTGGCCAGGTTACACTGCTGCAACATTTCCCTGCAACGTTCTAAAACATGAATCTCTGAGTCTAAACAGAGCCCGAGATCCAAGAGCTCTCTGAGCAACATCAACCAGTGAACTTGTCTAAAATGAACACCATTTTGACTGAACACTTATCATCAAAATATTCTCTACTCAAAATTACAAGATATCTGGTCTCCTAACTGTAAGAAAAGTTCTCCTATCTCTAATAATTCCGAGTAATGTTTTTCACAACAAAGTTATGCTAAGTCAGTCAGGGAAGTCACAATTACAGGAATAGCACAGACGGACTGAAAGGGTCAATAAGTCAGGCAGCAAGTCTCTAATTTTAAACTGATGGTTTAACATTTTGGGAAATACGCTTAATTGCGTTCTTGCCAAAAGTTAGATGTGAAGATCGATACCTTTCTCATTTCTTTCCAGTAAATACAATTCTACAGCCAGCAGCTGATTAGCTTAAATTAACATAAAGAAATGGTGGCAAGAAATATGCACTTGATCACACGTAAAAGTTTAATCTTAATAAAATATCTTCAGCACATAAAAAACAACATCCCAGCCAGCTTGGAACATCACCAGTTTGCTTTCAGAACCAACAGATCCACAGAGGATGCCATCTCGACTGCCCATAAACCTTGAGAAAAACAACACCTACATCATGAAACTGATCAGCAAACTCAGCACTCTGGGTTTAAATACCACACTCTGCAACTGGATATTGGACTTCTTCACAAACAGACCCCAGTCAGTTCAGATTGACTCACCTCCTTCACTCTAGTGCTCAAACCCGGAGCCCCCCAGGGCTGTGTGCTCAGCCCCCTCCTGTTCACGCTGTACACCCACGACTGCATCCCCCGACATGGAGAACTCTGTTGTGAAGTTTGCTGATGACCCCACCATCATCGGACGGATTTCAAACAACGATGAGACTTCAAATCAGGAGGAAATTCATAATCTTGCAGAGTGGTCCTCAGAGAACAACCTACTGCTCAACGTCAGCAAAACCAAGGAGCTGATCATTGATTTTAGGAAGAAGGGATAAAGACACACACTCCTGTCTACATCAGTGGAGCTGAGGTCGAACAGGTAAACAGCTTTAGGTTCCTGGGAATCAGCGTCACAGAGAACCTGATACAGTCATCTCACATCTCCACGCTGGTGAAGAAGGCTCAGAAACAACGGTATTTCTTGAGGAAGCTTAAGACCAAATTCCCGTGCCAAGTTCTTGACAGCTTTTACAGAGGAGCTATACAAACTGGCACGGCCCAGGACTGGAGGGCTCTGCAGCGGGTGATTAAAACTGCTCAGAAGATCACTGGTACCCATCTCCAGAGCATCAGTGATATCGGTGAGGTGAGGTGCCTGCGTAGAGCCCAAAGGATACTAAAGGACAGTACCCAGCCAGCCTGTTCACCCTTCCTGAGATATAGAAGTTTCTGCTGCCGCACCACCAGACTGCAGAGCAGCTTTCCCCCCCAAGCTATCAGACTCTTAAACTCTAATTCGTCCTCAGCACTGCTCCATTGATTATAGTTTATTTCTGTTTACCATTTTTCATAATTGATTCTTTTAATTTGTTGTATTGTGACAATAAACCTCTATCTATCAACCTACCAGTAGTAGATGGGGGCACTGTAGTCTAATATGTGTCTTTGAAAAGGTCAGTGGGACTGTAGAAAAGTCTATTTTTACACACAGTATATATCTCGCTATACTGTACGAATGTGTATGTCATTAGTACTTCTGAATTCATCAAACTTCTAACAAACATTTTATCTGAGTATGTCAAAAAATGGGCAATGACATAGACATATACATTGACATGACATAGGCATTAGAGACAGAGGACAACATCATGTATTGTTCAGTTTACTCAGGTTGGGTAAGTATGCAAGCTATGGCGACAGAGTTGTTATTTGTTTGGCATGGTTGACTAATGCTGACATTGATTATGCCATGTGATATTAACAAAACCATGTTTTTTGTTTGTTTGTGTTTTTACAGGGAATCAGTAAGTTGTTGACAATGCATCGGATCCAGAAATACGTCATTGTATTATAACCAAGCTCAGGGAAACATTGCTATCCTTGTCTCTCTTCCTCTATAATTCATTATTTTGATGATTAAGAGTGTTTTTTGAAACACGGAATTAGACACTTTCATTGAAAGATATTGAAATCTATTAATGATATTAATATTTATAGTGGCTGTTATTTGGTAACCTGTTTGATGTTATGTAGACTTTTCCTCTCTCATTGATTGATTACTGTATGTTGAATTTTGTTCAATAAAAATACACACTATTCTATAAATTTGAACACTTTTCTTACATTACACAGTTTCTACAGTAGTTTATTTGAAATAAGATTTTCAGCCCAACTTTTACTGCTCTGAACGTAATTTTAAAATACTTGATAAGTCACGGATAGGGTTATCAACTTCAGAAAACATCAACCCACACAAACAATTCCAAATCACAATGATACTGTGATTGTTCTTATATATTAAGCATTGTTCTATATTACATTTTTTTTGTTAAGAAAAAGTATTTCCAACAACATGGAACAACATGTCTAGCTGGTTAACATGTAAAAATAGAATTCCTTTCCTTTTTTAAATCTGGCCAAATAAGTCACATGCCATCTATTACATGAGATCATGACTGAATCACCGGTCCGCCTTGCATTGTTATATGAAAGCTTGTTAACTTGGGTAACATGCATGTTGTTAGGCAGTACATTGGATAGATGCCAATTCATATTACAATAGGACATTAAGGAGCCCTGGGAATTAAACTCAGTAACTAAGGAACTAACAAAAAGCCATTTTTGAACAATCCTGTTTTCTTTAGAGATGTATTTTGTATTATTATGTAAAGCTTCCCAGTCAACATACTGTAGGTTTCTTTATGAGCAAAAAAATTATTCACTTTTGATCTGGCTAAATTAGTAAGAGAGCCATCCCAGGGTGCTTGCACACCTGTACTTTAATTTGTTTGATCCCGATACATTGTTGAGTTGAAGTTCATGGTCCCATATCACTAGAACAAATTAACTAAAAGGAGTAAACATGAAGTTATATGGACTGTCTGGTGACTCATTGATCCGACAGTTTTAGTGATTGTCCTCCTGCATCATTAGTCCACACCAAGGTTTGACTGACAGATACGGCAGTGACTCATGTGAGCAGGACAACAGGACTAGGACCCAAATGGGTACAAATGGTAATGCCCTACTTGCCTTCTTGTGATGGGAGACTTGAAGTCGTTGTGGCATTCACACTACATCACTGATAGGTGACAGGGGGTCACACGCTACACGAGCTGACAGTGGCTGTGTCACCCGATGCTGGTCTCCAAACCACGTTTTGTTAAGAAAACACACGTGAAATGTGAAACTGGAAATGATGCGAACCTACACACGAAACAGCTGTTTGTTATTATTACGATACCAATTATAAAGACAAAAAATATGGGAGAAAGAATGGATTAGCACATGCAGATAGCAGGGGTCGTCTGAGCTACAGAGAGAGCAGGAGGTGAGTAAAAAGTGTCTTGTGAAAAAGTAGCAGCCTG